ACACTACAGGAAGCTGCATCCCCAGCCCCTTGCCCAAGAGCTAATGCGTAATCTGCAATTCTCCTGCTTTCCAAGTCTCCTGTCTCAACGACACAAAAGCAGGTTTGGGGCCCTGAGAACCCTTCCCTTCCCTCATTTCCTTTGAGCTACTTCTGGAAAACAGTATGCATGTTCAAGCCTGTCTTTGCATGTTCTCTGTGTTACACACATGTGGCAACTTCCACATCTGTGATGTCAGCGACAAAATTTCCTGTTGATTTTAGAAGCTTGTAAGCTTATTGATTTATTTCCCTTGTATCCAGCTCCAACTCAGATCAACTTGCACTCTCCCATCCCAGCAGCTTACAAAGCTAGACCTGTTCAGTTTTCAACAGTGGAATTGCAACTGATGCTTTCAGACCATCGTCTGCACTGTCTGGTTCCATGGGTTAATTTCATGGGTTGCTCACCTGCTTTAGGTAACAAAATGTAAATCTCAGCCATGTGATTGGTCCAGTGGTCGCAGCAGTATGGTCATTCTTCGCCCCCTTTTGACCTTTGACTAGGAAGTCTAGAACAAAAAATATTAGCTCTGTGTGTGTGCGCGCTCTAATTTACAGCAAATGCAATCTGTTTTAACTGTCCTGCTGCACAGCATTTCCCTGTCCCCCAATCACAGAGAAGAGTGCCCTCTTCTGGATGGATGGTATCACAGCATTTGACATCTTTATTTCGACTGCATTTGTTTTTGTCTTTGCTTTGTGGTTTATGGGCCATTAAATTAATAAAACACTTTAAAGTTTAGTATACGAATATAGGTTTCCTGTAGTATCAAACAATGGAAAAATGATGAATAAATAATCAGACAGAGTGATATAGCTTTTCTGATATAACTGAAAAATGAATTTAAAATGCAGTGGGTTGGATTCAGAATTCAGAATGCCTGGTGCAAACTGACTTCCTCACCTTCTGGTTCCCACAACAGCCTTCCTAGCACCTAGCATTGTTCCACCAAGGGTTGGGGAGCCCCGCTGAATGGGGTCAGCTGTTGTGCAGATAGGAGGGCTGAGAGGACGGGTCACACACAAAAAAAAGCTGAGTGGAAGCGCCTTCTATGAGCAGAACCCCCATTCACGTAAGTTTCCTCTGCCCCATTTGAGAGGAGGCACCCTTCCCCCTCAGCCCCCTCTGCCACATCTCAGCTCACCCAACAAGGACCTTTAGTGGAGCATTATGGAACACTGGAAGGCTGCCATCTGGGCACTCAGCTTCAACCAGCTCTCTCACACATGGCTTAACTCTGTGTCCAACTCATTGTTTGAACTAAGCTTAAATTTCATGTAAAGACAAATTCCAGCACAGATCACCTTATAGCCTTTCATGCCTATAAAGCCAAACGTTTTGCTTAAAATACAGAGTCCGTAAAGGGGGGGGGGGTGGATGATATAATTGCTTTAACCACTTATAAAAGCAGTTTAAAAATATGCCACGATACTGTCTAAAGCCAGAATCCTGTCCCGTTTCTCTCACTGCAGCCTGAGTATGTGGCCAGGTGTTCTTGAGGAAGGGCCACCTTCCTTGCACCATGTTTAGGGATAAAGTAATGATTGCATGTCATCATATGCAATCCCATCCACGTTTTTCAGAATTTCTGATAGTCAACACACTTTCAGTGTCTCACTATAGCATATTTTTAAAGTTTTATCTGTTTCCTTATTTTTGTTCATGTTTCTTGCTGTACACTGCCCCAAAATCTCATACAATAAAAGATGGTAAATAGGGGTGTGTGTGGGTGTACACACATGGCTCCCTCTAACAGCAATCTCATGCTCTGACTGACAACGACTATGCGGCCAAAATAGGGCCACTGAGAAAGAAGGGGGAGGTTACCGGTATGTGGGAAAATCCGGAAGTCGGCAGAAGGACAACTTTAAAAGCAAACAAACCCCTAGGGGCTTATAAACAGCCTCATGAGGACTGAGCATGCTCAGTAGCCAAGGTATATTTGAGTGTCGTGGCCTGGGGTGGGGAGAAGGAATGAAGCATGCAGAATTAAAGCAGGTTTAATTTTTGCTTAATCTTGACTCTTTTGTTGCAGGTCCCGCCTTTTCTCTCTATATAACCGCGGGGTCAGCCGCGGCCTGTTCACACGTGTAGATAATGAGACTTACAAGCGTGAATAGTCTATTCAGGCGGGCTCCTTTCGTAAGCAAGGACTCCCTTGGATCATCCCCGGACCGGGATCTTGCAGCGGTATACGCTGCTCTGCAAAGCGTCCCCCTAACGGAGCCGTGTTCAGACGACGCTGCTGAATGACTTAATATAACGGGGAGGGGGGTGCCTGTCTTTCTTTCGCCCTGCCGCGGAGGGAAGGGATCCCGCAGCAGCTGCCAAGCCGGGGAGGGAGCCTCCAGAGCCCGCAGAGTGACGTGGCCAGGAGAGTACACGACAAGCGACGACGTATAGGGGTCTCCTGGGCATGCGCAGTGAGGGAGGAGAAATATTGGGGAGGGGGCGATGCTCGGACGTCTCATGCCAACGAAGCTCGTATGGAGCCATCCTCGTTCAGGTTCTTGCATGCCGGCTGGCTGCTGCCTGGGAATTCAATGGGATCCGTAAACATGGGTGATCGCCCCCCAAATCACGCGCCCCTTAAGATCAGGAGTTGTGCTGGGGAAGGGGGTGAAATCCAGCCTCACAGAGAGAATAATGAAGAGAAGATGCTTAGAAAAGGGGAGATCATCCACTTCCCCCCCCCCAGGGGATGCCCTTGTAACCGCGTGGGGCGGTGGGCAAAGGATGCCGCGGCTTGGGCTGCCTCTGCCCGGCTAGCAGCAGCCTCCGCCTCCGCCGCCCGCCCAGGCTGTGAATGCCGAGGATTTCCCTCCCGTGGCAGGGATTCCTCCTCCGCCGCGGCCCCCGCGCGCGGAGGGGGCGGAGGGGGGCTGGGCTGGGCTGCTGATTCCGCGTCTCTCTGCAGCACTAGCCTAATTCCAGCACAGGAGCCTCTCTCCAGCTCCCAGCTCCGAGCCGAGTCTCCGAGGACTGCGGGGGAAGCACTTGCAGAGGCGGCCGCGCAGGCTCAGTGAGATCTCACTGCGTCTCAGGTTCTCTCGCTGGGCAGATGCCAAGAAAGGGGGGGGGCGGGGGAGAGAGAGCCAAAAGAAAAAACCCGAAAGCCTGGGAAGCATCAGGGGCTTCTCCTTGGCACCGAGGAATCCCTGGGCTGCCTGCGCTGGGGCGTGGGGCGAATCCCACCTGCTGCTGCCAAGCAGCCTGTTTTGCAGGGCCAGCCAGCTGCGAAGGAGACGCTCGGTCGCAGCTGGCCCTGGGCGCCAGGGGGCAGCACTGAGCCGCCTGCTTTGCAACTCCCCGAGATTCCCCTGCATTTCGCATCATCAGGAAATTCCCTTTGACGAGATGCCTCTGCAGCCTTCTGCAGTGTGCGCGCCCGGGGTGCTTGGCGCTGGCACAATCTCTGCTTTCTGTTTCCCTCCAACCTCCCGCCCCCAAACCAACCAAGCAGATTACAAGGGTAGGCCAGGCTGGACGAAGCGCCCGGCTCGGCCTGGAGGAACAAAGGGCACCCCCAAAACTGGCCCCAGAGGAAACAATTGTTTAGCTCGCTGAATATATATGCAAACATCGCGAAGGCCTTGCAGTTTCAAGTTGGTGGAAACGAATCCTTGCATTCGCCTTGGAAATGGGGGGGGGGGGGGCAAGACCAAAATACGGTAAATTGAGGCAGCTCGACCACTTCTCTAAGAGGTCAATTGGGGAAATGAACGCCTGAGGTGAGAATGGGCGCGTGCGAAGTGTCTCTGGCAAGCTGCCATCCCGAGCAAGAAGAAGGTGCAGCAATGCTACGTGGTCTCAGTGGTTGCCTTGCCTCCGCCATATAGCGCTTATCCGCACAAGGCAGGCTGTCAGCAGCAGCAGCCTCCCCGAAATCTATCGGGAGGAAACACGTGCACGCTACCGCCGTAATGCAATAGGAAAGCATAAAAAGGGAGAAGCCCCAATTATGGAAAACACCTCAAGGAGCATGCCGATCCACCTAAAATGCATATACAAGATCACATCCGTGTGCATATGCATATCACTAATTTTGGAATCAGAACTATTGCCCGGTTCCGATTGCACCCAGGTCCTAGCAGTGACCTAACTTCGCCCATATGCGCGTATTGACAAGAAAGGAGGAAAAATCCATCCTTTCGCCCTCGCCTGCCCTGATTCTCGTTTAAAGCGCGGCTAATCCGCTTTAGCGGAGTTCTAGAATGCACGCTTCCAACTTGGGAAGCTATTCCAGCAGGAAGTTCGACGGGCGCCCTCTGGCGGCGGGTGCGCTTCTCCGGCGCCGCTTATTGGCTCTGCCCGCTGCACTTGCCGCCGGCTTTTCTTTCTCCCGCGCGCCCCCTGGCGACCAGGGGTCGGGAGGGCTGCTCCCCGACTCGGACCCCGCCAATGCGGAGTTGCCGGGAGCGCCGATCAGGCGGCTCCGCAGCGCCTGGCCCCACGGGGCAGCAGGGAGACCAAGGGCTCCTCCGCGGCTCTCCCAGCTCCTCCTCCCCCTCCCTCCTCGCCGGTCTCTCCTCGCCTCCCGCCCCTGCCGGAATTGCCATATTAGGAACAGGAAGACTCGTGCCGGAACAGGGCCTTTTAAGGGCATGGCCTTATATGGACTCTGCGTCCGGGGGCTTCCGGGGGCCGCGGCGGAGACTGCAAAGCGGGGACCCCGCGGGGGGGGCGTCCGAAGGCTCCGGCTACGAGGCCCGGGCCGAGGGACGGGGTCCCCAGGGGCCCAAGCGGCCCAGGCAGGCCGCGGGACTCCCGCCTCAGGCCCGGCCGCAGCCCCCCTTCTCGGCTTCCCCCAGTGTCAGGCTCTGACGCCAGGCGGGGTCCTCGCGCCCGGGAGCCATATAAGGGCTTCCTGCCTTCCATATTTGGACATGTACGTCAGGAAAGAGGCGGTCCGGGGCCGATGAGACCCGATATATAGAGGCTGCTCTGGGGCGGGCGGGGAGCCGAGAGCTTCTAGCGAATCGAGCCAGGGGGAGCCCCAGGCAGGGCGGGCGGGGGAAGGGAACGCAGCGTCTCCCGCGGGCACAGCCAGGGGGAACCCCAGGCCAGCGCCCACCCCGTCGACCCCCGCTCCTCTTGCCGCCCCACGGGCGCCGTAGCCCCCGGCCCAGCGCCCCCCCCCCCGCGCCCCCATGGCAGCGGCCAAGGCCGAGATGCAGCTTCTGCCCTCGCTGCAGATGGCCGATCCCTTCGGCTCCTTCCCGCACTCGCCGCCCACCATGGACTCCAACTACCCCAAGCTCGAGGAGATCATGCTGCTGGCCGGAGCCGGCTCGCAGTTCCTCAGCCCCGGCGGCGGCGGCAGCGAGAGCGGCGGCGCCGGAGGAGCAGGAGGCAACGGCAGCTTCAACCCCTCGGGCGAAGGCGGAGAGCAGTCCTACGAGCACCTCGCTGCAGGTAGGCAGAGGCACGTCCCGGAATGGGGGGGCAGAGGGGCAGCCCTCCACCCCGTCGGGCAGGGGACTCCGCTACCCTGAGTGCGCGCGGGGAGGGAGGGGGATTCTCCGACGTGCGTCACCCGCCCGGGCCAGGTAGCTCCGGCAGCTGGAGCCGCGCCAGGCGCTGCAAGATGTAGCGCTCCATCCTTCCAGAGCCCTGGGGGAGGGAGGGGAGTCCCCGAAGTGGGGCCGACCAGGCGAGCGCGATGCCCCGAGATGATCAGCTAGCTGGGGGGTGGCAGCTGTGGCTCCGATGCCTGCCTGCCTGCTTGCATGCTTGCCTTTGGGGTGGCGATGGACGGAGGAGGAGGCGGCGCTGTGGGGACTTACCTTGGGCCGCTTTTCTCTCGGCAGACACTTTCCCCGACATCTCCCTGAGCGGCGACAAGCCCTTGGCGGTGGAGACCAGCTACCCGAGCCAGACCACCCGCCTGCCGCCCATCACCTACACGGGTCGCTTCTCCTTGGAGCCGGCGCCTGGCAGCGGGGGCAGCACCCCTCTGTGGCCGGAGCCTCTCTTCAGCCTGGTCAGCGGCCTGGTGGGCATGGCCACCCCGCCCGCCACCTCCGCCGCGGCGCCGCCGGCGTCCTCCGCCTCGCCGTCCATCCCGTCGTCGTCGTCCGCCTCGCCCAGCCCGGCGCTAAGCTGCTCGGTGCAAGGCAGCGACTCGAGCCCCATCTACTCGGCGGCGCCCACCTTCCCAGCCCCTGGCGGGGCCGACCTCTTCCCGGAGCAGCCCTTCGCCAGCCCGTCGGGGGGCTCGCTGTCCTTCCCGCCTCCGGCTTACCCGACGGGCAAGAGCACCTTCCAGCTCCCCATCATCCCGGACTACCTCTTCCCGCCGCAGCAGCAGCAGCCAGGGGGCGACCTGGGCCTGGGCTCGGCGGAGCAGAAGCCTTTCCCGAGCCCGCAGCCGTCGCTGACGCCGCTGTCCACCATCAAAGCCTTTGCCACGCAGAGTAACGGGGGCGGCGGCGGCTCGACGGCGGAGCCCAAGAGCAGCCTCCCGGGGTCGTACCAGGCGCAGCTGGTCAAGCCCAGCCGCATGCGCAAGTACCCCAACCGGCCCAGCAAGACCCCTCCCCACGAGCGGCCCTACGCCTGCCCCGTCGAGTCGTGCGACCGCCGCTTTTCGCGCTCCGACGAGCTGACGCGCCACATCCGCATCCACACGGGCCAGAAGCCCTTCCAGTGCCGCATCTGCATGCGCAACTTCAGCCGCAGCGACCACCTCACCACGCACATCCGCACCCACACGGGAGAGAAGCCCTTCGCCTGCGACATCTGCGGGCGCAAGTTCGCGCGCAGCGACGAGCGCAAGCGCCACACCAAGATCCACCTGCGCCAGAAGGACAAGAAGGCCGCCGACAAGGGACACGCCGCTGCCGTCGCGGCCGCCCCGACGGCACCTTCCGTGGCCGCCTCCCCGCTGGCGCCCTACTCCGCCTCGCCCGCCTCCTACCCGTCCCCCGCCTCCTCCTACCCCTCGCCGGGGCCGGCCTCCTACTCTCCCCCCGTGACGTCCTATGCCTCTCCCGTGACTTCATACGCCTCCCCCGTGACGTCGCCCTTCCCCTCCTTCCCCTCGCCCTCGGTGGCCACCAGCTACGCTTCCATGGCCTCCTCCACCTTCCAGAGCCAGGCGGCGGCCACCCCGTTCCCATCCCCCGGTGGCCTCGGCAGCCCCTTCGGCTCCCAAGTGACTTCTGCACTTTCTGACATGGCCTCCACTTTCTCGCCCAGGACAATCGAGATCTGCTGAGAGGAGAAAAGGGGGCAAGGGGGGGACACACACAACCACCACCAAGACTTTCGCGACCCCCACCCACCCCGTCTAGGTAGGGTGGGGTGCTGATAACGAATCTTCCTCCGGCACTTGGTGGAGGAACAGTGGACTCCCTCGCAAGCCAACCCGGCCCCCCAGCTTTCCAGCAGCCGGGGGGGTGGGCTGGGGTTGGGACTTATCTTTCAACTTCAACTGCCTGAAGACACAAGCTCCCTGACACTGGACACCGGAGTTCCTCTCCACTTCTGTTCTGCATGGACGAGAGAGGTCTTTTTTCTTCCACGATGATTTCCCCCCAGCCCGCAATTCATTCCTTAGGGGGGAGCAATGGGACTTTGGGGAAAAAATCCATGCATAGACAATGTAATATTGTATTATGTGCCATGGCTTTGCTTTCCTTCTGGGTTCTTGACGTGAACAACCTCTTTGCATATTCATATTGCGTTCTTTGGAGTACAAAGGGCCATCTCTCGCGCGCTCTTTCTTTTTTGTATAAATGGTAATTTTTCGCTCTTTTCGTGACGACAAAGCTGTACTGGGTTTTACAACTTGTTTTGGGGGGTGGGATGGGGGAGGAAACAAACAAACAAAAAAAGCAGCACTTAACTATGTATTTGAGCATGTCAACAGAGTGTGATGTTCTTTGTAAATATCACCTAGAGGATGAAACACTCTCGCGTGGCGAAAAGTTTTCGTTTGGTTTGATTTGTTGTTTTTCCTTTTGAGAACAAAAAAACAAAACACGTCCCAAGTCTTGGTGCCTTGTTGTGAAGCCCTGCTGACGTCATGCAACTCTGCGATTGGATGCTTTGCATCTAGCCTTAAGGTGAAAAAAGGGAAAGTGGGGGGAAGGGGACTCTAAGGCTCAAACACACACACACGAAAAAGGGGAAAGGAGCCGGGAGACAGAATGTAAGCAAAAAAGCAAAACAAAGCAAAACAAAACCCCGAACTTCTCAAAAAGTCTATTTTTGTTACAGAAGTGTAAAATTTATAAATATATTCAGCAGTTGGAATGTTGTAGTTACCTACTGAGTAGGCAGCAATTTTTTGTATGTTATGAACATGCGGTTCATTATTTTTGTGGTTTTATTTTTGACTTTGTACTTGTGTTTGTTTAAACAAAGGTGACTGTTTGGCTTATAAACACATTGAATGCGCTTTACTGCCAATGGGATATTTGGTGTACAATACCCTCTGGAAAAGTCAATAAAAAATATCGAGAGACCAGCAGTCAGGCTTGCTCCTTCCTTCCTTCCTTCCTTCCCTATAGGCTTCCAGGGCTCTGGCCCGGCAACTCTCCTTTCACTCACCCCAGCTTTGGCTCTTTCCTGTACCTGCAGCCCAGCCCGACGGCTGGGCCTCGTCCCGCACCTGTAGGAATCTCTGCCCTCGTGGTGGGAAGCGATCTCTGGGTTTCTCTCTAGGGAGAGAATAAAATGCCCAGGTTCTCTACGACCCAGTTGTCATGCTTGGGCGTGTGGCTGATGTCTCTATTGCCCTACATGCAATGCAGAGGTTTGTTCCACGCTGAACAACGTCGCCTCGCTCTCCCAGACCTAAAACGCCAACTAGTCCTCCCTTCCCACTGGGCAAGTAGCAGCATGGGGGGCGACCCTCACGAAGGTTGGAGGGGAGAGGACTCTGACCCCCGGATCTGCCAGGACTATGGCGAGCAGCTCGTTGTCGGAAGTGTCTGCACGTCTCTGCGGTGCCTTTGAGCACAGCTGAGCCCACCACCAGCGCCCTCGTTACCTTAAACCCGACGGCTCTTTATTTCGCTGGTGGAGACGTGTCTGCTGCAGAGGCGGTGGCGAGGGGATCGCATGCCCCCAGGCAGGTGACCCTAGACGGATAATGCTGGAGGCATCCCGGTGGGAGGGGGAAGCATGCCAGGCACTTGGCTTAGATGGGGCAGGCAGGATGTGGGGCTCCTAATCCCCAATGGTCCGAGGTCCCAGACAGCTGTGAGTCCCTCAAGCCCCTAGATAGCAGCTCTTCTGCCAGGGAGCAAAAGAACTGACTTTCTTCCAGCCTCCCCCATTATAAGGGTGGTGGGGATGGATCCTGTTCCCACTCTACAGCAGGGCTGAGCTGCGGGTCCCAAGATCAGGACCAGACTAAGTAAAGCCGAGAGAGAGAGACCCTCTACGGAGGCACCTTGGCCAAATCCCGCTGCCTCCGTTAGCTGCTCACACCACAGCTACTAAGCACGCTCTGCTCGCTCCAGAGCAGATGCAGTCTCTCTCTCCCGCGTCAAACATTGCCCTAAGGCAGGAGTGGCGGCATACAGAGAGACCCATCCAGAATCGAGGCTGCGAATTTGTTCTCTCGCTTGGCTCTTGGCTTCTCTGCCCGGGTTCAAATGGCTGAGGAGCTCATTTTAGGGTGTTGGACCCTGCCTTGACTTTCTGAAGGGCCAATTCCCTTTCAATCTCAAAATGTTGCTTATCACCCCGGAGTCTCCCTTCTGCTCCGGTTTATACGCAAGTAAGTCCCATCGTGGGATTTATTCCCTGGCAAACGGGTGTAGGGTTGTAGCTCTCGATCGCAATCTTAAGCATGTTTACTCAGGAGTAAGTCCTTCGACAGGGGCTCAGTCCTGGATCAGCGGGCACAGTATTGCAGTCTGCGTCGTCTCCGGCACAGCAGTAGGTCACGATAGTTCCCATTTTACAGATGAAGAACTGAGGATGGAAGTTATATAATGACGGAAGTGAGCCGTGAAGGTATACTGCAGTGAGGGGAGCTGCTAGAGAGAAGGTCCCCCTGCTGTTTACCAGCGCAGGTTTAATACACTCAGAAGCAGAGGTGTAGCAGAGACTCCCTCATTCTCCAGTCCTGAAATACTTTCGCTCTCAAGAGGGAGAAGGCTCGTTCTTCAGGGTTGCCAACTTTTTTTCTGGATAGGTTCCTGTGCAGGACAGGCAGAAACCTCACAGGTGCTGTATCTCGCAGCGTGGTGATAAGAGTGGTAGGAAAGCGCCATCCGATACATTTCTGCCTGTTCTGAAGCTGTAAACAGTTCAGGAAGTTGTGGCAGAAAAACAGCTGGAAATTCTACTATCTCTGGGTGGGCCCTTTCTCACCTCCCCACTCTCAGAGCCTAATACGAGACAGGGCTCAGCCTCAGAACTTGTTCTGTGTGTCTACATCATTCTGAAAACCCTGCACCAAGCAGGGGCAGCCTGCATGGCTCTGGGGCTTGTGGAATCATGAAAAACAGCCTTCCTCTGCACATGTACAGAGTGCATTCGCGCCCATCTGGTATCTGTTTCCAGTCTTTAGGGCATTTCGCTGATGTGAGGGGGAGGACTTGGGGGCGGAAGGGACATTACTTCCGGACAGCTTGATCTCCTCCCCTGCCATTCAGAAACCGGGCGCTGCCCCCATAGGCCAGTGGTAGCCAAGGCATTCAGGTGATGGACTGCAACTCTTATCATCCCTTGCTGGGGGGGGGGCAATCGGAGTTGGGAGTCCAGCAAAATCTAGAGGGCTCTGTGTTGGCTACCTCTGCGCTGGGCTGCGGGGTAAGTCGAACTGAGTATCTGAATCCTTTACCTTACCCCCTAAACAGCACCCAGAAGTTGGCATTCCGACTTTCATCGCTGGCATTTTTCTACGAAGTAAGCGGGATTTATGCATCTGATTTCAAAGTGGATCTTGTTTTTGACTCTGGATGCTTGCGCTGCGCAGGAAAGATGAGGAAATTCTAATAGGGTGGGCTGGGAGGAGACGCCCAGCTCCTAATAATCTGCAATGCACTGGGAAGTAAGGGAAACTCCTTCGTCCAGCATCCCTTGAAAAAGAAGCCGCGAGGCTGTGCGCGCCGTCGAACAGACGGGACTTTGATTCCACTCCCGCGCCATATACTTTATTAGTTCCGCACCACCCAGTCTCTTATTTCTGAAATGGCAGCAGCCGGCTGATACTGAGCCCCCCTTGTCCCTCCCCCGCCAGCAAGCTCAACCCACCCAGTTAAGTTCGCTGCCCGACTTGGCATCCCGCTGTCTTTTCTTTCGACGGGGGCAGAAATGATGGCTTTGCGCCAAAGCGGCTCCTCCCGCCGAGGAGGCGCTATTCTGAGGCAACCCAGAGGGCAGGGCTTGGGCTTTTTGGATCTTGCGCGGGGCGGGGAGGTGGGGAGAGAGAAAGCTGGTTCTGAAATCCCACTCTGTCCGCTTACGAACCAGACCCCCGCCCCCTAAGCCCCCTATGCCTCAAATGCAAGGAGAAACGCAATGGGACAAGCGTTTCCTTGCACGGAGATGCAGCGTGGCATCGCTTTGCCATTCGTGGAGGAAACCTGCCGCCCCAGAAGGTCGACACCCCAGTAGCTCTGGGCATTTGCAGCCTTTCAAATGGGAGTTCTCAGCAAACATAATTCGGAAGTCGGTCGGGCACACAAGAACGGGGCTGGCTTTGAAATAGGCGAGCTTAGCGCGGTGGTGTCAGCCTCGGTTCTTGGCCCGAGAACTGCAATATACTAAATCCTCATAATTCCATGGCCAGAGCGTCCTGAGAGCCAATCGACGTTTTCCTTCTGCGCCGTTTCCGAGCTGCGCCACAGGCGCAAGTTCCACCGGTGAAGCTTCCTCCCATCACTTCACCCCAGGGCCAAACAGAGGCTGCAGCTCGGCGGCCACCTTCTGCTTCCCGCAGGGCTGGATGGAGATGTGGCAGGGCAGTGAAATGGAGCCACCGACTGACAGCACTTCTCTCTCATCAGGACCACCGAGCCCAGCCCTTGCTGCAAGACACGCAGGCATCCTGCACCTACAGACTCCTCTCCTGCCCGACCTTTCCTTGAAGGGCTGCTTCCACAGCCAGGCAGCTTGTGGATTCGCTCTTCTAGCCTTCTCTCTTAGGAAGAACGCTTATTTTGATACCCAGCCATCACTCTTTATCCCCCCCCCCCCGCTTTCTAAGCAGTAAATTATGCTTTCCGTTTCTCATTACAGTATCGGCAATCCTTCTAACAACCCTGTAAGGTTGGCCAGTATCATTATTATCATCATCATTATTCCCGTGGGACTTGAGTCAGGGAGTTGTTGATTCACTCCCTGATCTGCAGGAGTCTCTCCGTCTGACAGCCTGTATCCTGCTCGTGTTTGCGATGCTTGAATCTTCTGCTTAGCGCCACCAGAGCCCGGTAGCCAATGCCAGTTCCTTCATCAGGGTTCTCATTGGTCAGAATGTTTGTGGGGAGGGAGAAAGGCATTGATTGGCATGTTGGAGTGGGGTGGGGTGGGGGTTCCTCGCAGCTTCAGGAGGCTGCTTCCGATTTACCCGGAGCCCACTAGGAAAACTTCAGATAGCTGAACGCATGGGATGGGGCTTTGGGGGACAAAAGGGGTGTTTACATCGTTGGGTCCTATCCATTTCCACTCAGACTGCCATGAGATTTCTCCTAGGGAAGCAGCGCGCAGCATTGCAGCCAGCAGGAGCTCCAACTGACACATATTATTGGCTGCTTCAGTCCTAACGGGGGGGGCATATCCTCAGGGGAGGGGAAGGGAGTCCATCGATACAGAACCAACCGGCTGGCACTGAACACAGATGTGAGGAAGGAGAGACTGAGAAAATCAGAGAGAGAGATGAGAAGCAGTCTCCATTTCTCCCTTTCCTCGCCCAGCTTTGCTGCTTGTTTTTCCCCCCCATTTGTGTTGCTGGACATATTTCTCTGCAGTATCTCTTTCCCCGGTGCCAGATTTGTAACTAAAGGGACTCCAGTAGAATAAATCTATCAATAGGCTGAGCTTCTGAGTTCTTGGAGCTGCCTCTCCACCCACTCCCGCCTACCTCTGGATATATCTTTCTCAGGCCCGTAGATCTCTTCTTCCGGGAGTGGGCTTTCATCTGTGACCCTGGTAGGACTCCAACGGTTTGACTGCGAGTTTGTGTCTTTTATGGGTCCTGTCTTTGGGTTCAACGGGATAATAGAATCACAGAGTTGGAAGGGATCACCAAGGGCCATCTAGTCCAACCCCCTGCAATGCAGGCATCTCAGCTAATGCATATTTCCAGTCTATTATACCCTCCTCCTAGTCTTACTAGGACTCACTCCTGCAGCCTACTCAGCCTTGGCGCTATAAAAGAAAAGGTGGCTTGAAGCATGTGCAGAATGCCTTTCTCCCACCGGCGAGTCACCACAACCAGACCCCACGTATCTGGGGTTATGGAGATGGGTTTCTTGGACAGAGGCACGTTTTCAACTGCAGGCACCTTTAGAAATGAAATCATTTAGCTGCAGTAGTCGCTGAGACCCATTTATATACCACAGAACTGGAAAGTGGGAAGATCCCCCCAAATTCCCCTGTGTTTTATCTCGCATATCTGGGTACTCTTCTAGGTATGAGCTTTCTGGAGGTCCAAGGCTGCAAAGAGGGGCTGAGAGGAGAGCTGGGCTCTTTATATTGGTTTTGTAATCCAAGTGAGTTTTGAAGGTAGCTATGAGCCTGCAAACCTGCGGCAGAGCTGCAAATAGAGATGTGAAATGACGTATCCAGGAGCTCACCTCCTTTTATGCTGAGCTAACCCATCAGAAATCCCAGCTTTCTGAATGCATCATAACTCACTAGGATTAGACCCACGACTAAAACGCGCGCGGAGAAAAAAAAGGGAGAAGCCCCCCTCCCCAATACATGATTGTGGGGGAGCGTCTGATCAGCTGGGACCGTATGCTGATGGGCACTTAAGGCATCTGCACTGGGTTATACTCGGAAGCACTTAAAATGCAAGCGAGCTGCCCATCGTTTGGGTGGGCGCTGCCCCTCCTGCGCCCCTCTGGGTCCAGGAGCGAGCCTTCCCCGTGCGAGCAGCACAGAGCCGGCTGCCCCGCCAACCCACCGTCGAAAGGGTGCTGCGCGCCCTTTAAAACGCGCCCTCCACGTTTCTTCCTAGCCGACTCTGGGAATCCCCGCTTCCTTGGCAAGCGCGGAGCTCCCAGCTGCCAAGTGGAGGGTTTTATTAGACGGCCGCAGCGGGAGCGGATGAGGGGGAAGGTGCTGACTCGGTCTGTCTGCAGCGAGGGATGGATGGATCCGGAGACTTTTTCTGTTTTTCCTTTTTTTTAACCCAGGCTCGGTCGGTTCACACGGTTTTCGCCGCGAGGACACCGGATTCCTGCGCGCCCTGGAAGCTGGCGCGCTCTCCCGACGGGGCCAGTCAGCGGGGGAGAATCTGTTTTGGCTCAGTTCGCCAGCAGCTGCTTGTAATTTAAAGCCCTGCTTCGGCGCTGACCATTAAGTGACAGGAAAGGCCTTGCGTCACTCTTGGAGCCGGCCCAGGCGCAGGGAGAGAGTGGGGGAGAGAGAAGGAGCACGCTAGTAGGCCATGCTGGTAGTAGTAGCAGCCGCCGCCGCTGGAGGAGCCCCCACTCCCGGGCAGCCTCCCGCGCCTGGGAAGCCAACCCCCAGCAAGCAAGCAAGCAAGCAAGCGCCGCTGCTTGGCGGGAGCTGCCTGGCTCCCTCCGTGGAAGCCAAGCGCAGGAGGGAAGCCGCCTCTCTCGGCTTTTGCCAGCCTCCGAGCCGCGAGAGCAGCGAGACGAGCCGTCCCCGTCATCCGATCCCAGCCGCCGAGCCAAAGCTGAGCGGAAGCAGCCCTCGTTTGGTTCCAAGCAGGAACTGCCTTGCCCATACATGGCGCTTCCTGCCCTGCGCGCCATACATGGCCCTTCCTCGCGCGCCATAAAAGGCGCTTCCTTCCCTCGGCGGCTGCTGGCTCGAGGCCTGGCCTGGCCTGGCCCGGCCCAGCCCGGCGGCGGGAGAGCAAAGGGAACAATCCGCCCGCGGGGTGAGGCGGGGAGGGAGGCAGGGAAAGAGAGAGAGAGAGAGAAAGGCGAGGTGACTGGGTTTGCCAAGCCCTTTATGGAGCGGCCCCGGAGGCCACGAAAGGAGGAGTGCTGGCGAAAAGAGGAATGGCTCATTTGTTGCTGCCGCTGCTCAGGCCGTTGCCTGTTAGAATAAAAACAAAATAATGCCGCCGCCGCCGCCCCGCTCAGCGCCCTGTTTTACCCAGAGGGGGGTGAATAGAGGAGCTGTTCCTTGCATTCTGAGCAGATAGACCTCTCCTCTAGAATACGAATTTCCCAATAAGGCAGCTTTTCACCTCAGAAACCCATTTAAAGCCCCCACCTCGGGTTACATACACTTCAGGTTACAGACTCCACTAACCCAGAAATAGTGCTTCAGGTTAAGAACTTTGCCTCAGGATGAGAACAGAAATCGTGCTCTGGCAGCGCAGCGGCAGCGGGAGGCCCCATTAGCTAAAGTGGTGCTTCAGGTTAAGAACAGTTTCAGGTTAAGAACGGACCTCCGGAACGAATTAAGTACTTAACCCGAGGTACCACTGTACATCCAAGCAGTGACTGTACATGTCAACTCCTTTTGCCTCCAGGTGAGCAGCACTAAGCTGCTTGTTTTTGTTTTTCTTCAGTCAGGGTTCCTCTAACACTTTGTTTTATGCCACCCCAATCTCTGATCAGTGCACTTACCCTGGATATCCAGGGTTGGTTTCCTTGGAATGAGAGACAGTGGAGACTGTGGTGTCTTTAGGATATATGGTTTATTTACACATGTATACAACTTGAGCCAACCGTGGAGGGTGTCACAGCATTAACACCCCAAAAGGGTATTGTTTCTCCCATTCTCTCAGCTGCCCAGCCTGATTCTTGTTTCTAACTCACACACCTCAGCTCTGGTTTTGTTCTTCTAGCTACCAGACCTGGGGAGGGGAATGGACAGACAGACACCCATTTGTCTTCTTGCACAGAGCCACTTCCTTTGTGGCCCTAAGGACCCATACTTAGGGGTCCATTAACTCATCAAGAAGTTGGCCTGGCTATTCCTACAATTGAATCCTTCGCTAGATTTTAATCCTTGCTGGATCCAGGAATTGGAAGGCACTCAGGCCTACAGTTTAACCTCCTCTCCAAAAGCCTCACAACAATATGCATGATGGGCAGAGTTCAACAGGTTAAACATTTACCCTCTGCAGGGCCCTGATGAGAAAAGATGACGTGAAATTTCTGCCTGTAAAGCAACAACTGAAGGTGTAGGAGCCTAGCCTGGAAAAAAAAAATAGGTAACAAGCAATGCTATTTTATATTAGCACAGTTACTATGTTTACCTGTATTTAGTAAAGAAGATTGGTAAAGCCTCACTGCTTCTCAGCTTTGCCTGCTCAGGTGTTGCACGCCTTGGTCTAGAGGAGCAGCTCCCCAACATTTTTGTCCTTGGACCACTTGAAAAGTGTTAGCAATGTGTGCAAATTTCCAAGTGTGTTCAGGAGGCAACTGTCTTGTGATGTACCCATCTTTGGTGCAAATTGCTCTCCTGTTGTGCCAAGTGCCTTTCCCTCTTAATTCCCCATTACCAAACTTCCAAGTGTGGGAGAATTTATAATATACTGGTTGTAGTGGGTTTATATACTGGTGGTTGTAGTATGCTATCATTGGGTAGTGAGTTAACACTAGCTTTCTCCAACTTGGTGCTCTCCAGATGTTGTTGGACTTCTAACTCCCATCATTCCCAGCCAGCCAGTCAATGCTCAGAGATGATAGAAGCTGTAGTCGAAAACACTGGGAAGCCTGACATATACCACATTCTATACTCATACCAGGGTCATACTCATTCTATACTCATACCAGGGTCAGGGCAGATATATATATATATATATATATATATATATATATATATATATCTCCCCCTCATTGAACTCAATGAGAGGGAGTTTCCTTAGAGGAGCTCCCCTATTGGAGCCTAGACAGGGGCATTTCTGTGGCCTTGGGCGGGTGTAGAATTTGACACAAGTGTAATTCTTGCCCTTGTCACCTCTGTCCCGCACATAACTTCACCCTGTTTTCGCCACTCTTGTGGCATATCTTCGCAGGTGGAACAGCTCTGCCAGTGGAGTGTTCCATTGGTGTATTTTGAATGTTCCACTAGTATATCTGTCAGACCAGCAGGGTATCTCATATCCTGCCAGTGTAAGGGGGCTTCCACAACATGATTAGCCTCTCAGTCTGCAGAACCTGAGTATAGTGTTACATCCCTAAATATGAGTTTCCAATAGGCTGCTGTAGGATTACTCCAAAGTAATTGGCTTGAGAAACAGTTTAAATTTATTTAGTGGTAAAAAGATGTTTTTGTTGTTGCCAGAAATGGCAATTTCCTTTTTTTCAGATTATTGCTTACAGAGCTCCTAGGAGCAGCTCTTAAAAGATCCCTGCTTTAGGAGGGCCAAGAATAATATTGTGTAAGAGGCAGGGAGGAGGAGCAGATTCCATCTGTGTTTATTTTGGCCAGATTCTGTTAAGGTTCAGTAGTGATTGAAGCTGGCCAAAGTTGAAGGTTCCATCAGTGTCCCTCAAGGTGTGTTAATATATTGCAGATATTGGGCCAATGTAAGAAATGCAAAGAAAAACAACAAAACCGAAAACCCAAACCCTTCTGTTAAAACCAAACTGAATACTTGACTTTGCAGGTTTCATGTTAGGTGGTGCCAGGAGGAATGGTAGTTACTCCAAAGGGCTTTGTTGCTAAAATTTGTGTTTGGCACGTAAACCTGAATGACTCGTGACTGTCTTGTTAAAACTTGCTTTTAAATAACGAAGCATAAAAGTGTATGTGCAGATGTTAGAAAGTAAGAACTCTATGTTGACTTTCTCAGTATTAATCACTGGTAAAATGTTGCGTGGCAAAGCTCAAATGTTGCTTTAAAGGAGGAGGAGAGATACCTCTTTCTCTTTGTGTGTAGATAAATAGCGCACACAGAGAGAAAGTGGTAATCTTTGTGAGGTTGAGAGAAAACCCAGCTCCTCCTCCTTATGCAACAGTCATGCAAAGGCAGGTTTATTTTTCTTTTGCCAGCATGCAGGGAGGCAATAAGCTTCTATTCCAAATGGAAAAAATGCCATGCATGCTTACCACTCCCAATTCTTTCTGGATTCTGCAAATGCAGCAGAAGAGGGACCTATATAAATCTGGCGTCTTGACTGCAGACTCATAGAAATCTGTAGGACTCTCCTCTTCTATAACCTAATTTATTAGCATTCAAGGTTATGATGGATACTCTGCCATTTCTCTCTTCCCTGCTTTAGCTGCTATATGAACACCTTACTATTTATTCTCACTCAGCATGATTTTCCATCAATGGTTAATGGTGGCTGGATCAAAGGTTTGATACTTTATGGAGCATATGGGGCATTATGGAACTATCTTACCCATAGACAGTGGCTTAAACTGTGCTTTGCATGAAATCTATTGGGAATCTGGAAAGGGAGTGCATGAGAACAGTGGGTCCAACAATGAGGCAAACAAATTGATGCATTCTTCAGCATCCCACAGCAGTGGGACTCCCAGATGTGAAGAGAAAGCCAAGTACCTTAATTATCATCAAAGCTGTGTTTGGTATATATTGTTCCATGCCACCACAATCTCTGAGTGGTGTGATTCCAGGGGTCTTGGCACTCACACAGGATTTGTATTTCCTTTGGAAATTAGGCACAATGGAGACTGCAGTGTCTTTATGATATATTGTTTATTTTTACATACTGTATATACAACCTGAGTCTACAGTAGAGGGTTTTCCAATATTCACATGAGGGGGGGCTTGCTTCCTACAGAAGCATAGTGTTGGATTCAAAGGCAGCCAAACAGCCATCTCTGTCTCTTCTCCCATCTTGTACCAGCCCGCTCGCCAAGAGCTCTCGCTCACTTCTCCCCTGCTTTTCAAACCTCCTGCAAAAACAATTTTTCTTCAGCCTCCATCATCCAGGATGAAACCCTATTTTTTTTCTTTCTCTGCCCACTAGCACAAACAGTTGAAGGAGGGCCCCATTCCCTATATCACAGTCTTCTCCCCATTGATAGCTCCCCCCATGGGCTGATGACGGGCTGTCATTAGCCTTCATTCCATTTAATAGCTCCTCTCCCAGGTAATACCTTTTTCTGGTAAAAACAGGGTTAGCCTGCATTTTTACACTTCTAAATGCAACATTTATCAACCCATCTTAATTCTCAAAGCACTGATTACTGTAAACCCCAAACACCCCAGAATCTAGTGGGAGTCAGGGCACCCACAAGCCCATAACAATATACATCAAGTGCATTGCATTATCAATTGTAATACAATATTTGATTAGCAGTCTATTGAGCTCAAGAACAATATTATTTACCTCCTAAGATTTATTTTATTCATCTGGTGAGTCATCAAAGCTAACCACAACTGGCAATGAGATTTTAGTTGTTGACAGAAGCAAAAGTATTGTCAATGAGATTGGAAGTTTTCTTGATCTGAGAAATCAATCCTAAAACTTATACTTATGTGTTTAGCTTTGATAGTAATATTGCTAATGACTGTGAGACTATTTTTCTGCATGTGTGAAATCTCTCAAGAAATGCATTCCATTGGTGCAATTGAACAAATAACTAATATCAGCTTATATATGAGTACAGAAAACAGAAACTGGAGAGAGAGATATGATGGATATGTTTATTTTTAACTTGGATGTATAGAGATGCCAAGAATATTGAAAGGTAAAATATGAAAGCCTAGGGCAAAGACAAATAGTGCTCTAAGATCCAAGTATTCACCCCAGATTGGAATTCTGCTGAGGGCACTTGAGGCAATAGTGTGAGAGAACTAATTAGACCTCTGACTTTAATTTCAAACAGATATACCCTCCACCTCTCAGTGTAAAAACCAGGCCATCTGAAGCTGAAATAAAATGAAACCAGAACAAATCTTTTTAGTACAAGTGCTGAAATAGCTAGCCATAGCCAAATTTCTCAAGTCTTGCAAGAGATGGACTCCTCCTGGGGTTTTATAAGAAATGAATGTAGTCAAGGTCAGTCTTACTTTTAGGCAGAATGAGGTAGCTGCCTCACACAGGAGTTGCTGAGGGGTGCAGAATGGACAGACCTGTGTGTGCTGTATGACCAGACCTCCACCCCCCAAACTAACCTGTTGCCCCCAGAAGATGCTCACTGTCTCATTGCAATGTTGAAACAAAACTCAATTGCTAGTCTGGTTGGCTAGTGTACATGGCATGGGGATATGTACCATCTTGTCCTTAGGTGGAAAAATATATTGGGCCAACCCTTTCTGCAGTGTTTATAAAGTCCAAAGGTGAAACCTGATAAGAGCTACAATGAAACAGATAACTAGACTCCTGGAAGAGCCTGACAATGGAGTAAGGAAACATGGGGAATGGAGATTTTGTAACCAACAAAAATATTTCTAAACCTTGCCAAAGACAATTCACTTGGTAGAAAGTTAGCAGGGTTCCTAGCACTGGTTACCCAATGTTTGGCAGAAAATGTATGGTGGAGTGTTTGCTTAGTGCACTGAGATCTTAGCTATTAGGAAAAGGCTTGTTCCTTTGAGGCAAAAGTAAATAACCTGGATACACTGAGAGAGGTAGTTGGTGAGACTTTCAGGGACTTGACAGAGAAGTCCCGTTATTGCTACTGTAGACAATTAGAAGCAAGGAGAGATGGGGGTGTTGTGAATGTTAACACGGCAGACATCACACACTATATTGGTAAAAGCCAATAGCGCAGTTGATGGATGGGGGAGATCAGTAATTCTAGTACATGTTAGTGTCAATTCATTGGGAAATACAGTGGTACCTCGGGTTAAGAACATAATTCGTTCTGGAGGTCTGTTCTTAACCTGAAACCGTTCTTAACATGAGGTACCACTTTAGCTAACGGGGCCTCCCGCTGCCACCGTGCTGCTGCTGCTCGATTTCTGTTCTCATCCTGAAGCAAAGTTCTTAACCCGAGGTACTATTTCTGGGTTAGCGGAGTCTGTAACCTGAAGCGTCTGTAACCTGAAGTGTATGTAACCCGAGGTACCACTGTATAGTTATCTAGTCCTGGAAGTCAAAGCTGTTACTCACATTTAATTTCACAAGTAATATTTTAAAGTGCATTCTTGCTTGAATGAGCAATATCTATATATTTAGAGCACAAACCTGGCAAACAGAATTGGGAGACTCAAGCTGATTGTGCCTAAGAATATCTCTGAGGAATTGTATTCAAAATATAGTGGGTTCAGTTAATGGATTTCTGTACAGCTAGAGGATTATTCCTTTCTTTTTGTGCATTTGGTATATACCTCTTCATTTTTGGGGTAAGTGGGTACCTTGGAAGTAAGCATTACTAAAGGTAGAGTTGTTCAAGACAGAAAAGGCCTTGCTGAGAACAAATCAGTGTGGTTCCTGTAAACTTACAACCAACCTTACAGAACTGAAAGTAGAAATAATTATATACTTGGATTTCCAAACAGCTGCTGGCAAAGCCTTCAAACAGGCTTGGGAGCCAAATGCACCCCTCCTAGCCTCTCTGTCTGGCCCTAGGAACACTCCCTGGGCTTAGGAACTCTCTGCAGGCAACACCACTGCTTCACACCCCAAGTGTTTTTGCATGGTTGGGATGTGTCTGTGAACTTGGAAAAGGCCTCTGGCTTATCGGGATGGATAAGCCAGGGTGGAAAAAGGTAAAAATCACACTGATTGCTATCCCCATTTTTGCTTTCGTCCCCACCCACCACTGGGATGTGGCCCCCAGAAGCTTGCCAAGAGGCGAATGTGGCCTTGGGCAGAAAAAGGCTCCCCAAACCTGATTTAGAATATTGTGTGTGGTTTACATTGCCTTCCCTCAAAAAGGAAATTGTAGCTTTAGGAAGGTGCAGAAAGAGGCAAACCAAGAGATTAAGCAATTGAAGCAACTCTCATATAAGGAAAGATTACAATATGTGGATCTGGGTCTCTTTAGTTTAGAAAAGAGGCAAGTGAAGAAGGATATGACAGAGGCTTATACCATTGCAAGTGTTATTGAAAGAGTGAAGCTAGTTCTCAGGAAAAAATAAAATGAGTTATCCGGTGAAACTGATTGGTAGACAGTTCAGAACAGACAAAAGGTCAGATTCAGCAAAGCTCTTAGAAAACCTTAGGAAAATAGGTTCAAATGTCTTCCCAGGAATGACTTTATGTTGGTGTATGTGCACTAACCAAATGTAGTCCATCCGGGAATCATACATGAGATAGACATTTGCTGTTGCCCAAAGAGGTATTAATTTATCTGCTCCAGGCATGCCAGGGGAACTGCTCTTCTGAAAGTGCCTACTGCCCATTATATTTGGTGCTTTATAGAAATAATTCTCAAACTTGTGAGATGTCCGCCTTTTGGGGAGGGGCGAGAAGTGGAAGGAGGATCAAAGTTTCAGAGGAGATGGGACCCTGGGGTATGCCATGGATCTTTCCCTACTAACCAAGACCCAGGTAGACTGATCACCTTCTGACAGTGAACATCCTATTGGATTTGTGTACATGATCCCATCCTTGTTGTTGTTTAGTCGTTTAGTCATGTCCGACTCTTCGTGACCCCATGGACCAGAGCACGCCTTACTTCTCCTTGACTCCAAATGTGATTTGGGAAGAAGCAAGTTTAGGACAATCTGCTGTGCTCTTAATCTTTCCTGGAGTGTATCTGTAAAAGAGGTAAAAGAGGTTCAGAGATATTCTGCAGTTATGCATATATCAGATTATTGCCCTGATTCTCATGGCATTGGATGCAGCTGATGGTTGCGTGCATGTAGCTATATACACATAACTACATACAAGGATCTATGGATATTCACCCATGCAACAGATAATAGTGCTGAGGAACTAGAAAGCATTGAAAGTTTTGAAGTGAGCCGAGTTAAAAATAATACTTGAGAAACACTGCATAGATTCACCCAACAGACAGGAATTATTTTGGCAAAGACAGATTTCCAGAGAAACAAGAGGTAGAACAGGCCTGAAATTCTGGCTAAGAATTGCATACTTTTCTTTTAAAAGCCTGCAAACCATAAAATTATCTTAGCTTTTGGGAAAGCCAATCTACCAAGCACTTACACGTCCCTGGAAATTCTTTCTTGTGGCATTTCTTTGTTTACACTGCCCTCTTACGGTTTCTGGTAAAATAGCAGCTGTATCTAAATTTGTAAATATTTTATTGCGGTTCCTTACATTATTATTTTTCTCTCCTTGGTCCTTGTCTTGGAAAACCATGTGTCATTATTGTATTGTTCCTTGTGCTGGACAAGGATCTGGGGACCAGGGTTCAAATGCCCAGTCGGCCATGAAGCTCACTGGGTGATCTTGGGCCAGTCACTCTCTCTCAGACTAACCTACCTCACAGGGTTGTCCTAAGGTTAAAAAGGGAGGTTGGGAGGGGGAGGTGTGCATGCCACCTTGATCTCTCTGGAGAAAAGGTGGAATTATAAATGTAATAATAAATAAATATTTTCGATCAGTCTGGTTCTTGACTGATCTACTCTCTCAAGAAGATGAGGACCACTGAAAAAATACATTTAAGAAGAACCCTGCTGGATCAGGCCAAGGGCCCATCTGGTCCAGCATCCGATTCTCCCAGCAGCCAGCTAGGTGAGCTTGTGAGCAGGTCCTGAGTGCAATGACACTCTCCCCATTTCTGCCCCCAGCAATTGGCATTCAGTCGCATTACTGCCTCCAACAGTGAAGGAAGAACATAGCTGTGGTGGGGAGTTGCCACTGATAGCTGCTTCTTCCATGAAGTTTTCTGATCATCTTTTAAAGCCATCTGATTTGGCTGCTATCACTACATCTTGTGGGACCAAATTCAATGGTTTGGGTATGTGCTGTGTGAAGAAGTGCTTTCTTTTGTCTGTCCGGAATATTCCAGCATTCAGCTTCAGTGGATGGTCCTGAATTTCTAGTATTGTAAGAAAGGGCGAAAAAGTCCCTGTCCACTTTCTCACACCATCTTATCTCCCTTTACTCAACTTTTTTTTCAAAACTGAAAAGCCCCTTCAGCTTTGTTTGTGCAATGGGGCTTCTTCCCTCCACATGTGCCCCATGCAACCCCCAAAGTTGGCTCTTAGGGGGGTTGGGAGAACCTCCACAACGGTGCATGCAGGGAGGAGAGGGGAGATCACTCCTTTGGAACTATCCCCTTAGTGTGATGTTGAATTCCTCCTCCTATTATTATTGTGCAAATATTATGTACATGTGTGGCATGGGTTTGTGCCCCCAAATACCCCTGCTCCCAGTTTGTTGTACGGATAAAATGGTGCATGTACATCACTTCTAGCCGCTTGGAGGAAAGGCAAGATCTAGACATATTCAATGTGGTTTTTCTTTTTGGCTGTAGGCTAATGAAATCATACTTCTTGTGAATCCATGAAGCATCTTGTGATTAAGTCCTGAGAGGTGCTGCATAGGGTCTACAAACAAGAGTAGAGATCTTTTGCTGTTAAGCACTCAGCATCAGAGGCATAGCTGGGGAGGGACTGGGGGTGGGGTGTACTGGGTGCCACACTGCGGGGGTTGGTACTTAACGCCTGGGAGTGACACGGTGGCTTGGGCACCTGCAGGCTCTGCACTGCCCAAAATGGCAGTGTGGGGTTTGCATCTGTCTACTGCCTCCCCCTCAGCCGCCCTATAGCTGAGGGGGAGGCAGCAGGCAGACTCCTTGGAGGCTCCTCACAGCATGCCCTGCCCCAGCTCACCCCGCCCCCATGGGCTACTCGCCCTGCCCCTGGGAGTTTCTGAAGTAATGTATAGCTGATTTTATGGCGGGGGAGAGGAAAGGATAGATAGATAGGTGCTAGCAGTCAGAATTTGTTCTCTTACTTGAATAATACTGATATTATTAGAAACAAAATATGATGCCTTTTCTTTTCATACTGATGGATGTACATGTAAACCTGTGGTCCCTACAGTAGGTGTCTAATGGAGCAGCTAGCAGTGTGGCTTGTACAATCTGGTCTTTGTAGAACACATCATGTGTGTCCATCTGACACGGCAGCTTAGATTGCTTGGGAATTATACTGGAGAGTTCAGCATATCCAGGAGGAGACACAGAAACTCTCACAGAACTGGTAAATTTGGTGGTTACTTTCCATATGTACTCTGCCAAAGACAAAATGGTAGAGAAGCTAATTGAACAAAACAAACTAATCGTTTGGCAATCTATGTGATAATTGACAAGGTTCTTATGGACACGATGCTTGCTAGGGGGTGGCAAGTAGAAAGAAATGTTGAGTGTATTAGGAACTGTCTGGGAAGACTAACTTCTAAACAGTGACGGCAGTATTCTTCATCTGAGGAACTTGGTTTCTTTTTTCGCTCCATCTGTTTTCTGCTTCCTAATGTGCTGCTGGCATGACAACTTTTCCACTGTCTATTCACTGCTTCTTTCCCATGACAAGCCATGGGAATCTCTCCTGAGTGCAGGAGTCAGTGTGGGATTGTATCTCAGTTTGATTCATCCCTTCTGGATGCCGTATATGTTGTCAGCTCTTTGGCAGTAGTCTTTCTGTGTTGAGAGAATAAGAACAAAGCAACTCTCCTCAAGGCTTCAGCGGTTACTTAATTTTGAGAGGCATGACCGCACACACGTAGCTTTTAAACTGCAGAAGCTATGGACTCTTACCATCGGGTCCTTGGGGGTGCAATGCACAGGGCTTTGTCCATTGTACCTGGCTTCACAAATTCCACAAATCAGCTGACTGGCAGAGTTTGTGAAGCTGCGTACATAAGGCCCCCATAACAGTTCAAGCTTCCGCGCCACCAAAATGTAGGTCTGCCACCGGCTGCAGCCCAGCCCAGTTTCAGCTATCAGACCAATCCTCTCCTGCCCCTTTCACCTTGCCTAGCCTTGCCAAAGCCCAGCAGTCCTTGTTCTAAGGTGCAGCAGGCCCCAAAGCTAGGCAGGCAAGCAAGCAAGCAGTCCCACCTCCTCTTCTTCCTCTTTTTTTCCATCCTATCCTCCTTTCTTGTCACTTATACAGCCACTGCTGCCCCCTTCCTCTTACTTCTCCACCTCTGCTTGCCAAAATGCCCAGGGAGCAGCTACAGTGAGATCAGGCACTCCATTTCTACAAATACCATTGGGGTGCCCAGCATGCAATGGGAGAAGGGCCCAGATAAGCCACTCCACCTTTTAACTTGCTGGCTACCACTGTCTCCTACCTAGGACACACTGCACGAGGCAGGGCCAACAGGTGGGCAGAGCAAACCAAGAGGGTGGCCTGCTTACAGAGACTTCCCCATACCCAGGTCTCCCACTTTGCTTTGCAGTTCGTAGGCTATGTGGGTGGAAGTGCTTGGGCAGATTAGGGATGTCGTCAGCTGTATACATCCAAGAAGCTAGAAGTGTGTTAGTGTGTTGGAGATCTTTAATCTGCCTTGATTTCCTGCTTTTCATGGTCTTGTGTTATCATTAGTATCATCTTACAATACAATATCCTGGCTACTAAAGTGATTTTTTAAATGCCTGTACTTTAATTTTAAAGTAACAGGACAGTATAAAGAAAAAGGACAACTCCTTAATTATTTTCAAAGTATTGTATTCACCCAAACACCAACCTATTTGAAGCCTTTTAAAAATTGCCTTTAGGGTGAGGGGGCAACACTGCTAACTTTTGCTCCCTACGGCACTGCCCCCCCCATTTGCTAGCACCGCCATTAGAAGTATGTGTAACATGGCTCTGCAGCCTTAGTAACCTTCTCCCTCACAGTATCCGAGAAACTTTTAAAAATCCTTAATTTATAAATTATATGCTTATAAATTCCCTTTAGTACTTTCCAGAATAGTACCACAAAGTCTGGGAGGGGAAATGTACCTACACCATTTCCTGCAGCAAAGCTTTGCCATTTTAGAAGAGTTTCTACTTTAACATATGTAACTTAGCATATAGGCATCTGGCTGGCCACCGTGTTAACAGGTTGCTGGATTAGACCTGATCCAGCAGGCCCATCTTATGTTCTTAGCTATAAGCTATGGTGATAGGCAGTGGCTTAGATGGCTTTAAAAGAGAACAGGTAAATTCAAGAAGGATAAGGCTATCAATGTCTGTTGGTCATAACTGCTAAACAGTACCTCCATGTTCAGGGTACCAGATACTGAGGACAAATGGAGTATGGTTATCCACCACATACCCTATCACGGATGGAAGCAAAGTACTAAGCTACAGTGACCTTTGGCTCAATCCTGCCAGGAAGACAGGACTATGATCAGAGAAGGGAGAGGGGAGTCTGAAAGGAATGGCTAGATAACACTTTGTGCACTACCACAAGTGACCGCATGATGTCACCAGGTGCCAAGGTACTCCTGATGTTTGCAAGGAGCACGTCAATTCAACTCTGAATAATTCTTAAGCAGCTGGCCCAACAAAAAACTCCTACCGAAAATCAGAACAATTTTGTTTGGCAGGAAATGAACCTTGCTAGTTAGCAACAATAGATTTCTCTTTAAAGACAGTGTTTTTCATCAGATTAATTTTGAAGCCTTCATTTTGTTTATAATCTTTCTCTCCCTTTGTCATTTGAGGTGTCTGGTGTGTTGTTGTTTTACAGTGAGTAGGACGCCATGCTCAGCATTCCTCCTTTCTTATAAACCTTAATACAAGATTTCAATGTGGGTTGCTGAGATGTGTTTGTAGAGTTTTCTGACACAGGTGCCAAATTAAATTGGCTCACCCTAGCTGGTGTATGTAGCTTGTCTTGGGCAGGGATGTGCGTGTGTGTATGGTGTTGGTGTATTGGGCCTGCCCTGCCGCCACTGCTATATACACACACAGACCTGCCTATTGCAGATTAAACTTTGCCCCGTTCACTCATTGCTGCTTTATGCCCACCAGCTCAATGTATGCTTTGCTGCCAAGCCACCTGTTGCAATGTTATGGTGTAGCACAGTACTCGGCTTATGCTTGTTAGGTTGATGACTTATGCATCACTAAAGAAGAGGAACTACATAACCAAAAGAAAACAAGGACACAGATCTCAATAAAGTTTTCATTATCTTACCGTAATTTAAATAGAAATACATCTCATTCACCATAGTGGGTAAGACAGTATTCAGTTGACCTGTGTGCCTGCTCAGTCTGCTGCCAGCTGTTGCCTGTTGACAAACAGCTTGAAGGTTCCACCTGCTTTCGCTTTTTTGGGTTCTCTGTATCTTTAAACTGGACTTGGATTGGTAGTGCTTCACAGAGAGGAATCTTTCCGTCAGAAGACTGCCCTCTGACAGCCCTTCAAATAGAGGTTTGTCCTCTGTAAAGGAGGGCACATGGGAACCCAGATGGGGGGGGGGCGGGAATAACTGGAGATGCTTGGGCACTTTTGATTTACAATGAAGGCCAGAAGGTAAAATATATATTTTAAATAAGAGCAAAATCTCTTAAAAGATACAGAAGAAAACAATTATCCAAAAATGTATATAGTGATACCTCTGGTTATGTACTTAATTCGTTCTGGAGGTCCGTTCTTAACCTGAAACTGTTCTTAACCTGAAGCACCACTTTAGCTAATGGGGCCTCCTGCTGCCGCTGCATGATTTCTGTTCTCATCCTGAAGCAAAGTTCTTAAAGTCCTGTATACCTGAAGGAGCGTCTCCACCCCCCATCGTTCAGCCTGGACACTGAGATCCAGCGCCGAGGGCCTTCTGGCAGTTCCCTCATTGCGAGAAGTCAGGTTACAGGGAACCAGACAGAGGGCCTTTTCAGTAGTGGCGCCCACCCTGTGGAATGCCCTCCCTTCAGATGTGAAGGAAATAAGCAGCTATCTTCTCTTTAAAAGACATCTGAAGGCAGCCCTGTTTAGGGAAGTTTTTAAATATTTAATGCTGTATTGTTTTTAACACTCGATTGGGAGCCACCCAGGTGGCTGGGGAAACTCAGCCAGATGGGCAGTGTATAAATAAATTATTATTATTATTATTATTATTATTATTATTATTATTATTATGTAACCCGAGGTACCACTGTATAGATACACCTGAGTTCTTTAAAAAACAACAACTTGTCACAGCAGTTTTCTGAAGGCCTAAATGTAGGGAGGACTGCATGGCCTCTTATGAATCTGAGACTTTGGTTGAAGCAAGTTGCCTTGAGCAATATAGTCCACAGAGTAGACACTCTACCTGTAAAGCTTTGGGTTGCCCACCACAGATTTTACCACTGCTTTGGACTTTGTGCAGTTCATCACTGAAGGACGTGAAGGCTTATATGTATTTTTCCCCCTCCCATAATTTTTTAATTTGATTTTTATACACTTTAACCTATTCAAACATTAAATTACAGGGTTCTCTTTGGACTCCCTCCCATAACTCCAATGGGTTCTTATATTAAAAGTTTAAGTTTTCTGCATCTTTTGCTTTATCCAACTATTGTATATCCCTAATTATCATAATCAATTTCACATTACAAATGTCATTACAACGCTACCAATTATTTTAACTGTTTACAGTGGTTTTTTAAAGTAAACTACAAATTTACTCCAGTTTCTAACAAATACTTGATCTTCTTGGTTTCTGATCTTGCCTGTCAGTTTCACCATTTCCACATGTTCCATCAATTTCTTCTGCCAATCTTCCTTCATTGGTCGTTCTTCTTCTTGAAGGTTCATATGTAAGCCAGGTGTAACGCATTTAGGCCTGATGATGACTTATTAGCTGATTCTGAAAATGCTTTGGCTATTTTTATTTTTACTGTGGAGACTCACGGAATTTTGCCTGTTTTTGAGACTTAACTATCACTTCCACACTTCCATTTGCTTTCCCCTGGGAAAAACCGCTCTTTGCTGCTGAATTGGAACTCTGAGAATCACAGAGACCCAGAATGTGGCTCAGCGTAAGCCCTTTTCCTCTTCTCCCTCTATTCCTAGCAGCAGTAATTCTTCCAAATACCTGCTGCTGGAAACCACAGAAGAGGAGAGCGCTGTTGCACTCTGGTTCTGATTGCAGGCTTCCCACAGGCATCTGGTTGGCCACTGTGAGAACAGGATGCTGGACTAAATGGGCCACTGGCCTGCTCCAGCAGCAGGCTATTATGTTCAGGCATTCATCTGAACATGTGAGGTTTAAAACAGGAACAGGGGAATGTATGCAAGCCCTGCCCCCAAGGTCCTATGTTTAGGACATCCTTTCATACTTGCGCTCTTTGAACACGACGGTCTCGAGGGGGCTTTTACATTTGTTGTACAAAATGTTCTTAGAACTGCAGTAGAGAGCAGGTCAGATCCAATAGCGATGCAGACAGAGCGACAGAAGTGTTGGTGAAGCTACAAGATCATAATAATTTTGGCTGTAAGTCCTGGAAGACCTGCTCCTTCTGCCCTGCAGGCCTTTTTTCCACTTGGCCAGAAAGGCGGGGTCCTGACTGATGCAAGCTACAAAACTGAGGCTGCTGAACAGACTATTGGGCTAGGGCGGCTGTTACGTAGGGCGGGGGAGGTATCTTTTTGTATCTTTATTTTAGATCTTGTGATTTATGTGGACATTATTCAGTTTATTTTTTATGTTTAATTATTGTTTATGACTGCATTTATTATGTTGCAGTTGTGTGTATTTCATGTTGCAACCTGCCTTGAGCATGGTTTGAACTGTGGAAAGGCAGCATACAAATAAAATTATGTATGTATGTATACTTTTGCTGGCTGTTTTGCTGTATTGTAGGAAATGTATTCAAGCCAGTGCTGTTTATACTTTACAGGGACTTCTGGCAGTGTTTTGGATCAGGGATGTGGAACATTTTTCCACCCTAAAGGCTCACATTTCCTTGGGAGAAATCTTCCAGGGCCTACAGGTTAGTGATGGGCAAGACCAGAGGCAAAAATGGGGACGCAATAGATGTGACTCTTACTTTTCTATAGTAAGCTGCATTCCAGTCATGCAAAGAGGTTCCTTTGCAGCCACTCACATGCCTACATATCTCCAGCCTCCATCCAGGCAAGAAAGACACATTAATACAGTTCAAGAATACATTCCAGCCTGGCAAAAGCAGTAAGCAGGGCGTGGAACAGGGCAAGTGGATGATATGGCCTGGGCAGAGTCCTGGGGGCCAAATAGAAAGGCTTCGGGGCACATTTGGCTCCTTGTTCTCAGGTTCTCCATTCCTGTTTTAAACAGACTTCAGAAAAGAAACTGAAATGGAGAAGGGGAATGGTGGCATGGGTAAAATGGAAGTACAAAGAATGGATGCCAAACATGGCAGGAGGACAGTGGATAAGCAAACACAAGGGAGGGAAGGAGGGAGATTGTGCTGTCAAGGCCAGAAGCAATCTGAAATACTCACTGCTCATCTTGGATTAGTTGACCTCCACATCACACTGATGCCCTTTGCCTTGTTGTTGTTGTTTAGTCGTTTAGTCATGTCCGACTCTTCGTGACCCCATGGACCAGAGCACGCCAGGCACTCCTGTCTTCCACTGCCTCCCGCAGTATGGTCAAACTCATGCTGGTAGCTTCGAGAACACTGTCCAGCCATCTTGTCCTCTGTCGTCCCCTTCTCCTTGTGCCCTCAATCTTTCCCAACATCAGGGTCTTTTCCAGGGAGTGGCCATGAGGTAGCCAAAGTATTGGAGCCTCAGCTTCACGATCTGTCCTTCCAGTGAGCACTCAGGACTGATTTCCTTAAGAATGGATAGGTTTGATCTTCTTGCAGTCCATGGGACTCTCAAGAGTCTTCTCCAGCACCATAATTGGCCATTTCAAATCCCTGTTTTAAGCCATGGGGGTATTACTACAAACAACTGCATGTAAAATCCAGCTGCCCTAATAACATAGTAAAGAGTAGCATTTGAGGTTCCAGGGGAATTTTTTCCACGTAAACTTTTTTTTTGGGGGGGGGAATTGGTATCATTTGTTCACTTGTCACTATTTGTCCCCAGTCTTTGAGACAAATTACATATTTTTGTTAAAAGACCAGCAATTTCACAACTGAGTTATTTACCAACTCACAGACAGATACCACAGATACCACCTAGTTTCTGTGATCTGCTCATTTTCTGCTAAAATGGTGCTTCAGGTTAAGAACAGTTTCAGGTTAAGTACGGACCTCCGGAACGAATTAAGTACTTAACCCGAGGTACCACTGTATTTAAGTACAAAAATTACATTTCCGAATAACATCACTTCACTCGTGGCGTAATTGGACTTGTGGGGGAATGGATTTCTAATTACTGTTGCATTTTGAATCTTAGAAAACTTCTAGTGCTCTACAGTATGCTAATGTAGCCTCATACAACCATCATGATATTCCTTTCCCACCTAATGGATGGCCTTGTGGCAATCTCGTTGCAAGGGAATTAGCTCTTCAGCGCTTTTTGTTTTCAGTGAAATCAGGGCAGTAGTGTGCTGCAGTATCAGAAAGATACATTTTTGGCATCCGGATAACTAAATGCAATGGGCAGTATCCAGCCAAACACTTTCACTAGTGCAAGCACAGCAGAAATCCCCCCCCCCCACTTTTAGATCTGTTGTGGAGTTTTCCCCAACCCTCTACAGCAGATTTAGAGGGCACAGGGTTGAGAGGGGAGGGAGGGGAAGTTCGGTTGCATAGCCAAAAGTGCTTGCACCAGTGGAATGGCTGAGTTGGCTACCTCCCAAAATATTTAAAAATCAAAAACTGAAATAGCAGGGCCTTGCCCCAGGGAGTGGCATTCACCACTTCTCTAAAAGGGTGAGATGAGCACATTAGAATGCTATAGTAAGAGAACACAGCACTCAAAGATCACAAAACGATGCAAGCATGAGGGGGAATTTGTGTCACTTATCATTAGGCACTGTCCAGGGGCCTGAGCCCTGGGTTTTTTGCACCAGGTCCTGGATCTGTTGCCCCTCCCACTTTAAAACAAACAAACAAATAAACAAACAAACAAACAAGCGGACTTTGCTTACAGGGCAACTGAGCATGCCACAAAGTGCAGTGTTGGTAAGATGCCAACCATCTGTTACCTTTATTTGTTCGAAGGCAGTGCAGCAACTGGGGAGGGGCTTGTGATAGAGAAGCTTGTTGAGTGACCATGAAGCTTACTGTGTGATGGTGGGCTAGTCACTTCCTTGCAGCCTAACCTACTATCTTAGGGTTGTTGTAAGGGGAGAGACTCCATCAGGCAAGGCCTTCTTCCACCTGCCTTGCCCCACCTCTTGGCCCTGGGATTCTTCATAAGGAAGCTGTGCCTGGAGGAAAAATTGTGAGGGGAGAGACTTCATCAGGCAAGGCCTCTTTCCACCTGCCTTGCTCCACCCTCCAGTCTCTGCTTCTCATTTTGTATTGTATTATGTTGTGCACTGTGGTTTGCTGTTGTTTTATTGATTGGAGTTTAGAAATTACTTGTAACTCTTGAGTGGATTTCTGTTTAATTTTGAAATGCTGATATTTAATATTATTCTATATTATTTTCTATATTATTTTCTATATTATTATATAATATTTTATATAATATTTATATAATAGTTATATTATATAAATATTTATATAATATTTTCTATATTATTATATGGGACGCGGGTGGTGCATGGGACGCGGGTGGCGCTGTGGGTTAAACCACAGAGCCTAGTGCTTGCCAATCAGAAGGGGTGAGCTCACCGCAATGGGGTGAGCTCCTGTTGTTCGGTCCCTGCTCTTGCCAACCTAGCAGTTCAAAAGCATGTCAAAGTGCAAGTAGATAAATAGGTACCGCTCTGGCGGGAAGATAAACGGCGTTTCCGTGCGCTGCTCTGGTTCGCCAGAAGCGGCTTAGTCATGCTGGCCACATGACCCGGAAGCTGTACGGCGGCTCCCTCGGCCAATAAAGCGAGATGAGCGCCGCAACCCCAGAGTCAGCCACGAGTGGACCTAATGGTCAGGGGTCCCTTTACCTTTACTATATATTATTTTAATGAATGTTGAATATTATTTTATTTGCATATTGTATATTGTATTATGCATATTGTCTTATTTATATGATGTTAGCCGCTCTGAGCCTGGCATTGGCTGGGGAGGGTGGGATACAAATAAAATTTATGATGATGATGGTGATGGTGATGATGATGATGGATAAAATATGTACAGTGGGAAGCCACAACCACTGCTCAGAACTCATTGAGGAATAGAGTCCAATCTGCAGGCAAAGTACTGGGCCTAGAAAATCCTGTTGGCACCCTATAGCTCAAAGCCTTGACAGCAAGAGCTAATGTTTGTTTGTTTTCCTTCTGAAAGTGAACCTAAACTTGCATATATACAAATGTATACATATAAATGCATACATATAAATCAGCATATTTTATGCAACCGTGTCCCAAATCCTTTTCAGTAGTTAGCAACACGCCTGCCTGTGACACTTACACAATCATATTCTGCACAGTATTAGCAGTAAAATAACAATGGGCGTACTACTTGGAGAAGAACCACAATTTTCCTGTGAATGAATAACTGTGGTTTGATGCTGAGAAAGCGTCTCTTCAATGGAAACACTTCTTTAGGAATCTTGCTTGCAAAACAAATGAGTGAAAACTGCACAGTTACTGTGGAAAAGAAAAAGAAAATGTCTTAAAATATCTTTACAAGAAGAAGCACAAAACAACATTGGTCTGATGGGGCAAACTGAGGCTGAGTAACAGCTTGAAGAGATAGTGGAGATCATCAAATGCCACAGGGCCACTATATCTTTAAAACCTCACACTGCAGACATATCCCAGTCTCATCCTGATCACCAGGAATAGGAGAGTAGATAAGAAACAGCAGAGGCCTCTTTAAAGAATTGAGGGTGGGGGTGCATTTGATAGAGCCTCTCAAAATCTTTAGGGGAGTGAGACATGTTTTAAGATTGTGAAATCCTGCCTTCGGCTATAGTTCCAGTTTAAGCAGGTAAGTGGTAGGGAGCCTGGGTTACCAGCAGCCAACAGATTGTTGACTGGAGTCAGCATTTCCACTATCTCTTTTGCCCAAGGCAAAAAGATAGTGATGATGGAGAGGGGCTGCAGGATTTTGCTCTAAATGTATTCAGGGGTTTCTTTCTAACCCAAGAGCAGCGTTGTAACATTTGAAAAATGCGAATGGCAGTGGATATCAAGTTCTGATTGGCACATTAGTCCAGGAGGTGCAGATCAACTTGGTTCATACTGGAATTCACAAACTGAATTCCTCAAGCAACAGCTCCCCTAGCTAGACTACTGCAGTGTACTGTGTGTGGGGATGACTTTGGAGACTGTTTGGGAACTACAGCTATGGCAAAACACTGTCACTAGATTGCTAGCTGACGCCAGATTAATAAAGAAGGCCTTCCCCGTGGCAGTGGCAAAAATCTTGGGGTCTCAAATTTCAGCGGTGTTCTGTGTGATGCCAAAGTTCGTTGTTCCTCCACCTATATCGCTTCATTGTAAACCATAGTTGCAGCACCCGCAAGGTTCCGCACCCAGTGCAGCTGAACTGGTCACACTCTCCTAAATCTGCCTCTGACTATGATGCCCCCCTGGTCTACGGAACTCTCTTCCCAATAAGCCTTGAGTGATACCCAAGTTATTGCCTGTTTGGCACCAGGAGAAGATCTTTTTATTTCCCCATACTTTTAACATCTGATGCGATTTTAATACCCATTCTAGTATTTCATTTTCACGCTGACTTTCCCCTGCTGTTTGTATTATGGAAGGAGTTCTATGTCTTCATGTTCTCTTAATTTTGCAGGTATACTTGAAACTACTGGAGACAAGACTGGAAACATGAAGCCATGTCTGGAGCCTGCAAGTCTGCAAGATACAGTTCAATCTAGTTCAAGCATTTAAATGTGTATGAAAGGTCTGGTGCTTATTATGAATCTTTAGTGAGTGCATTCTGTCTCTCTGTCTCTGTCTCTCTCTTCCAGCCTCTAACATCACTTTTGTTTTCTCCATGAATTGATTTAAGTGACATAGCAAGTTTAAATTCAGTTGGACTGGTTAATGAGAGGAATATATTATTTTGCACTTACCTGTATGAATGCCTGCAAATTAAACAATTTCACGTTCCTGCAAGCAGATCATCCCCGTTTGACTCACAGCCAGGCTCAGTATCTTTCCAGCTGCCTGCTATGGGAGGACCATATGCAAAGACAGGTGGACTTCTTTCCAATTCAGAAGGGCTTCAGGTAGCACCTGTGTGGTCAAGGCTGAGCTAACCATTGTACGAAGCATGAGTGAGGGATATCTCTACTGTCTAACAGGTGATGATGCTCCTGAGTATGAATAGCAATCTTTGCTCTGTTCCATCAGCTAAGCTATTCTAGAAGTCCGTACAGTATAGTAGTAACCATTTCATGACCATGCGGCAGGAGAACCAGGGCCCTCCGCTATACACTGGGTGAAGTGAAAACCTTTTCTGCTGCAGAATAGTGCTTGTGTAGCCTTTAGTACAGCAGTACAGATGCCTCACTTTCCAAAGGAGGTGTAGTAGAGTTCAGACCACTGTTCATCGGCATTGCACACATCCATTTAATTGGCCATTATCTAATGGTGGTGCTGAGCTACATATAAAAGTGGATGAGGGTGGCAGAAAAAAATGGTCAGCTGGCAGTTTTGCACCGGACATTTCAGAAAGAGAGGAGGACAAGGCAGCAGCAATCTATGTTGTGTCATGTTTGGCTTACTATGAATGTAAAAGATCTAGGGCAAGTTACAGGTCATCAGAACCGTATGCAGAGCATAGAATATTGTTATGTTCACCCCTCTTCTCCACATGGTGAGAAGTTCCAGTAGTGCGGTACTTGCCTAGGTTCGGTTTGCTTTGGAAGGAAATTACTGGAGACTTATTGATGTTTTGTAATATTTGCATTTCCTTAGTGATATCTAGTCTGGGCATAGGTGGAGGCACAGTTTCAACCAAAGCTGGCTCCAGGTTTCATATGCTCTTGGTCAAAACTCTTTTTGTGGGCCCTTCTCCCTCTGAAACTACTTTCTCGCTGCCGTTGTCTCCTCTTCCTCCTCACCACTACTGTTGTCAGCTTTATTGCCAGGCAGAGAGAGGATCAGCAAGCAGGCTGTGGTATCTACTGCTCTTGAGTTTTTCCTACAAAGCACATTTGGAGATTCAGGTGACTTTATATTCCCACCTTGTGGGGCCAAAAGCAGCTGGGATAAAATTTTGATTAGGAAAACGTAGGGCAGGGGGAGTTAAATACCCATTCTACCAATGTGGGACTTCAATTAAATTAGCAGCACCCCACAGCTACAATTCAAAAAGCAACAGGGGACAGTATCCAATGCACTCATTCCTTTAGCAGGAAGATTTGTACTTGTGCAACATAACTACTTACCCACCCACTGCCCTGTGCACCCCACCCCAAATTTGCTCGGGGGGGGGGATACAGAATATATTAATAAATCTTTCTGCTTGCAGAAGGAGGTACCTAGTGCTACAATGGCTACAAGACAGGAACTCCAGTCACAGCGTTGGAGTAGCCAAGAGGGGGCAGGGAGGGGCAGCTGCCCCCAATCAATAAAAAAAATTAATACATAGCAAACTGAGGCTCTGCCCCCCTAACAAAAGACCTGCTCCCCCTAACAAAAATCCTCACTATACCCATGAGTCACAGGTCATTTTAACATGTAACTTTGTTCTCACAACCCTTTGAGGTTGCCTAGGCTGAGGGAGAGCCACTTGCCCAAAGTCTCCAAGTTTGGTATAAAGCTTGAGCAGGGATTCAAAGCACATCCAAACCACAGTGCTCTAGCCACTACATCACATTATATAATTTGTAAAGTATTCCTGAAATAAATTAAGCTGAAGTCACATTGCATTTTGAAGTGTTTTTATCATTTGACAGTCTTCCCCTGCTTCAATTAATGTACATTACAACCACTCACAAGTTATTTTTTCCCCAATTTTAAATGCCTCTCTCCCATTCTAGCTATTGCAGGAGTTGACACTCCCCGACTTGCCTGCTTTGGATAGTGGCCCACATTGCCCTGTGACTAGACACAGACACAATAACAGCACAGTGTGGCTGGTGATAATGTGAAATTTCCCCCCTCCTCTTTCTGCACTCTTCCCATCTCAGTAGAATTTTGTTTGCCACCACCCTCTTCCCTCCAGTCTAGAGAAACTGACAAAGTTAGAGAAAATGTCTTCTCATTTTGACCATCTGTGACTCTCCCTTTGCCAATGTTGTACCATCCAGGACTATGTCTTCCATCAGCCCCAGCCAGCATTGCCAATAGTTAGGGATGCTGAAAGTTCATAGCACCAGATTGGCGAAGGCTAATGTAACTTATCAGTGGAACTGGCAGGTTCAAGGGGAAACCTTGTCAATTTAGAGTGCAATCCTCTAGATGCAGAACCAAGTTCCCTTGTTTTCCATGGGTATAGGACTGAAGCCATAATATGCCTGTGTCTTTCCTTGAAAAAAGATGGATATGTGAACATCATCAACCACTAAGTAGACCTTGCCAATTTCACTGGAGTCCAGCAAGGGTCGATGATGCCACTGATGCTCGCAGTTGTGCAAAAGGAGGGGGAAGTAGGAAAGAGAGCCATGCCACACACCTATCCTGCCTAGTCATGTTATATGGGATCAGTTTCAATCTGTTACCTCCGAGGATGTGGACAGGCTGCTTGGATGAGTGAAACCAACCACCTGTCTTCTTGATCCTTGTCCATCCTGGCTGATAAAAGCAAGCCGGGAAGGGCTGGGTGATGGGCTCCGTGGGGTGGTGAATGCTTCCCTTTGTGAGGGAGCCTTCCCAGACCTGCTGAAAGAGGCAGTCATTAAACCGCTTGTTAAAAAAAATCTTTAGACCCAGCCAGTATGGCCAACTATCGCCCAGTCTCAAATCTTCCATTCTTGGGCAAGGTGATTGAGTGGGTGGTTGCTGAACAACTCCAAGCACGCCTGGAGGACGCAGACCATTTGGATCCCTTCCAATTGGGATTCAGGCCTCACCATGAGACTGAAACTGCCTTGGTCGCGCTGGTTGATGATCTCCGGCGGGCTAGGGACAAAGGTAAGAGCTGTTTCCTAGTTCTGCTGGATCTCTCAGCAGCCTTTGACACCATCGACCATAACATCCTTCTGGACCGTCTAGAGGGGCTGGGAGCTGGGGGCACTGTTATACAGTGGTTCTGCTCCTTTCTCCTGGGCCGTGTCCAGAAAGTGGTGTTGGGGTATGAGGGTTCAGACCTCTGGGCTCTCACTTGTGGGGTGCCTCAGGGTTCCGTCCTCTTCCCCATGCTTTTTCATATCTATATGAAGCCGCTGGGAGAGATCATCAGGGGGTTTGGACTGGGTGTCCATCAATATGCAGATGATATCCAGCTCTACCTCTCTTTCAAATCAGAACCAGTGAAGGCAGTGAAGGTCCTGTGTGAGTGCCTGGAGGTGGTTGGAGGATGGATGGCGGCTAACAGATTGAGGTTGAATCCTGACAAGACAGAAGTACTGTTTTGGGGGGATGGAGCAGGCAGGTGTGGGGGACTCCCTAGTCCTGAATGGGGTGACTGTGCCCCTGAAGGATCAGGTGCACAGCCTGGGAGTCATTTTGGACTCACAGCTGTCCATGGAGGCGCAGGTTAATTCTATGTCCAGGGCAGCTGTCTACCAGCTCCACCTGGTACGCAGGCTGAGACCCTACCTGCCTGCAGACTGTCTTGCCAGAGTGGGGCATGCTCTAGTTATCTCCCACTTGGACTACTGCAATGCGCTCTATGTGGGGCTACCTTTGAAGATGACCCGGAAACTGCAGTTAATCTAGAATGCGGCAGCTAGACTGGTGACTGGGAGTGGCCGCCGGGACCACATAACACCGGTCCTGAGAGATCTGCATTGGCTCCCAGTACGTTTCCAAGCACAATTCAAAGTGTTGGTGCTGACCTTTAAAGCCCTAAACGGCCTCGGTCCTGTATACCTGAAGGAGCGTCTCCACCCCCATCGTTCAGCCCGGACACTGAGATCCAGCACCGAGGGCCTTCTGGCGGTTCCCTCATTGCGAAAAGTGAGGTTACAGGGAACCAGACAGAGGGCCTTCTCGGTAGTGGCGCCTGCCCTGTGGAATGCCCTCCCTTCAAATGTGAAGGAAATAAGCAGCTATCTTCTCTTTAAAAGACATCTGAAGGCATCCCTGTTTAGGGAAGTTTTTAATACTTGATGCTGTATTGTTTTTAACACTTGATTGGGAGCCACCCATAGTGGCTGGGGAAACTCAGCCAGATGGGCAGGGTATAAATAATAAATTATTATTATTATTATTATTATTATTATTATTATTATTCATCTCTTTGGAGAGATGCAGGTAGTTTGAAATGCGATTTGAAACCCACCTTCCTGTATGGCTGTAAATTGATTAAAAAACCTGATACCGGCACATTTAAAAATGTATTTTTGACTTTCATACAGTGCGAGCAAGATTCAAAAGTGCTTTAAGCAGCATTTGTGAAATTGCTTTTCGTATTATGGACTTCACTAAGTCTTTGTCCTAAACAAGGGAGCTGTTGCCTGACACATTGTGAGGAAAATGAGCCTTTGTGCGTAGCTTGTGGTGTGGCATGGGTTCTCTACTCTGTGGAGTGCAAATGCAAGATTCTTACACCAGGGACAAAGGTGTGATGGAATAAATGCATTCTTTCATTGCTCAAACTAAAAGGCTGCTGTATTTGAACTGGAAACATTACTGAGTTGCTGGCAGGTGAGAGAGGATTTGGCCACTAGTTCTCAGCAGGTCTGGGCAAGGTTGGAGAATGCAGTTGCTTATCTCCCCTCACCCATAAACATTCCTTCCTAGTCATTCATCTGTTTGCCAGATAAAGCCCAGCCATTTGAATCACACAGAGAGCAGGAATGGACAAGAATGACAGATGCAGATGATCAGCCCTCCAATTCCATCCTAGATGTCCCACCTGCTGACAAAGCACTGGGAGGTGGGGAAGGTGTTTGTCCTGTTGCTGGGCTGACCCCAGGTAAGGAGAGGCTGATCATTTGCAAGAAATGCAGATAGTATTACTGGGGAATGTGCAAGCCTTTGGGTTTATAAAATCCTTCACTTAAGGTAGCCCAGTAAAAGACAGAAGGCTTCCTACTTTGCCTTCCCTGCAATCTCCTTCCCCCTTCCTCTCTGAGGGCTGCTTTGCTTATTGTGATTTTAATTGGTACATGTTTTAGACCTTTGTTGTGTACCTGCTAAAACTGTAGCAATTAAGAGCATACAAAACCCTTGGCAGACTGCCCTGGTATATTTCCTTGGAGTTTAAAAAAACTGCATATGGGCATCAGGTATTACAGCTTTAGATGTAGGTAGCCATGTTGATCAATGGGTGGGAAGAATACCAAAATCACCGTAGAAGAATAAATTTATGAGGGCTAACTAAAATGTCACAAAATTGTGAGCAAGCTGGAGATGGTGTACATCTTAAAGCTGCAACATGTGAAGTACCCTTCCCAGACATTCTTCAGTTGTCTTCAACACAATCCTCTGTCCAGCACCGTGTTAAGGTTGCAAAATTATAACTGTTCTATGCAACACATTAATTTAATGTGTATGAAAATGTCATACTTTGCATGGAATTTCTAGCTATGTAAGATGGAATCCCTGGTTTAGGAACACTTAACCAATCCAAGTCTCTGTTGTTTTTGTTTGATCCAACAACCAGCTCATCATTTCAGGAGGTCTCAGCTACATTTAATTCCCATGGACTTAATTCCCAGCCTTTATTCAAGGTTTCTAATGACACAGGAAAATACTGAGAAGGGCCAGTCTGTAGATTGTGCAACTCCAAAAAGCTGCAGACACAGTTTGATACCCAGAAAGTTGTCACTCTTTCCGTAAGGTGTGACCTCTTTTACTATTATAATCTTTTAGGTACAAGAAGTATGACACTGAGCACAAAGTCACAAGAGCCCAACTAACAACTTGAAGTGGCTAAAATATTTGGTGTAGTGTTGGGTAACCTAAGAAAGGTCCCAATATATTATAGGGAGCCATTGCAAAGGACCAAACCATGTGTGTGCATATTTGTTAATCCATGCTCTAGCCAGCAGAGGTGGATTTGGGGGAGTGCAACTGGTTTGCCCTCACTGGGCACTGAGTCGAGAGGATACCACAGGGTTTGCTGCAACAATGATGAGCAACAGAAGACAAGAGGTGGGGTGGCGGTGGCAAATTTTGGCCTCACACAGGGCACCGCTTAAATTTTAAAGCCCAAAGTCTGCCACTGTAGCCAGTTAGACTACAGTGGTACCTTGGGTTACAGACACTTCAGGTTACAGACTCCACTAACCCAGAAATAGTACCTCAGGTTAAGAACTTTGATTCAGGATGAGAACAGAAATTGTGCGGTGGTGGCAGGGCGGCAGCGGGAGGCCCCATTAGCTAAAGTGGTACTTCAGGTTAAGAACAGTTTCAGGTTAAGAAGGGGCCTCCAGAACGAATTCAGTTCTTAACCCGAGGTACCACTGTATTAAGCAGGGGTGGAGGGTATCTATTTTTATTATCGCTAAATGGCCTGAGTTGGGATAGTTCTTACTTTCTTGTTCCATTAGGTTTAATTGGATAGGCTATGACTACTTTTAGATAGACCAGGCCCCTTTGATTTCATCAGGTTTTTGCATCAGTGAAAAGTATTTTGGGGTAGCTCAGCAGACTAAAACCAAAGTGGCAATAAAGATTGCACAATGCTAGGGATACCTTTGCCCTTAGACTCCAGTCTGCTGTGCACACAAGTTGTTTCGTTGTAAATCCTGAGACTCAGCTTAGTGGCCTGGGGTTCTTTGAATCACTTATGAAATGTTCCTGGTTAGAAAG